TTGTGGGGAAGTGGGCCGGCCCAAGTCTTGCGCTCGGGGGAGATCGCCCGTGCGATTGCTCGACATTTTGATGCAGTTAGCGTCAAATAGGAATTTCCGCGAGACAGAGAGCAGGCTTCGCGTTAGGGAATGTCCAGATGGGTTGGCCCAGCTTCGCGGGAGCCTCATTTTTCTGTTTTCTGTTTTATTATTTGCTATATAAAATATTCAAAATATATATTACAAAAAACTCTATAAAAACACATTTTAAAAATGTTGACTAAGCTTTTGAAAAATGTTAAATGTTTATAAAGGAAATGTTTGTCACATATACAAAAAATGGATAAAAACAATTGATCAGGTATTTAAAAAATGTTAATGAAGCATTTGGAAAATATTTGAAAAAATATTTTAAAATGTTAATCAAGAATTTGAAAAATGTTAAATGTATATAGAAAAATATTGACCATGTATTAAAAAATGATGAAAAATTTCGATCATGTATGTAAAAAATGTTAATCAAGCATTTCAAAAAATGTTGACAAATATTTAAAATATTAATCAAGCAATTTTTTTGCTTAGTAATACGTGTGTCATTAATAAAATAAAGATTCACTTACATTTTAATAAAGCATTTAAAAAATCTTAAATATATATAGAAAAAATGTTGACCATGTATTAAAAATAATGATTATTTTATCATGTATATAAAAATGTTAATCAAGCCTTTCGAAATTTTTTGAACAAGTATTTTAAAATATTGATCAAACATTTAAAAAATGTTAAAGATTTATAGAAAATATGTTGACCATTTATTAAAAAATATGGAATTTACAGTTTGAAGATCTTAATCAAGAATTTTCAAAAAATGTAACTGTGTACAGAAAAATGTTGACATGTATTCAAAAAAAAATTAATTTTGTATTTAGAATATGTATTAGAAAAATGTTCCTAACGTATATGAAAAATGTAGAATGAAAACGAAAAGAAACAAAAATAAAAAATAAAAAACATTCAAAATGAAAAATTACGAAACATAAAACCGAAGAAAGAAATGTAGAAAGAATTGAAAAATCATAAAAGCCAATAAAGAAACAATGAAAAACAAAAAGCATTGAGAACCAAGAAAGAAAACAAAAAAAAAGAAAAAGAAGAAAGAAGAGAAAAACGGATAAAAACCATGAAAGAAACAAAGAGAAACCAAAAAATAAACAAGGAAAAACCAAGGTATAACCATGAAAAAAAAAGAGAAGAATTGACAAATCCAATCAGAAAACCTAAAGAAAACGGAAAAAAAGAAGATAACAGAAAAAACTCGGGTGTTTTCTCTCAAGTTGTTCGCATCTCCTATCTTAACGCGAGCCAGACCTGGCGCAGTGGGTAGAAAAAAAAACCTGGCGCAGTTGGTAGAAGCACCAGCCGGCTGGGATCGATCCCTGGGGAGCTCTGTTTTCGTCCCTTCGTCTCGCTTAATCCGATAGGTCTCGCGGCGGAGGGCGACCGAAGAAGAAATAAATATGATGAGTGGGCCGGTTGGTCTCACGGGCCAAGGCCCTTAAATTTTCATTTTTTTTTCTGTTTGATTGATTGATTGATACGGAGTACTGTAGTTGTGTACGAGAAGCTTCTGGTCGGCGGGGGTGGCGGTGGATGTGGACATTACTCCGGCGAGGTCTGCTTCCGACGAACCACCAGGTGCTCTCCCCAAGACCACTCACCTCATCCCGCTTAACCGCACGCAGATTGTTTTTGTGGGCGGTGCCTAGTATTTTCGTCAAACAGATTGCGCGCGCGCGCGCACACCTGCGCTCCCTGTGGCTGTGAGGTCTGCTCACCTCAAATTGCGGTTCGCTGTGATGTCGGATGCTATGCTGGGGGACGATCTGGGGAGAGTCGAGGGGGGGATTTTGAAAAGGAAAAATAATCGCTGGGGCGTGGGTTCACAAATTTAGGGTTTAGTTCAAACTTTTGCGATCAATTTGGTTTGGTACCGATCATTCTGGAAATCATGGTTATCACACGCTTCTATTCCTGTCAGTTGCAGCGGCTTCAGAGGATTGCAGAACTGACTGAATGCCTTGATTTTTCTATACTCAAAGATGGCATTTCTCTGCTTGCTGTTCTGTTCTTCAGTTACCCAACCTGGTCTGCACCTAGCATTCTGCTTCTGTTTCTGCTGGTGGGTTGTCACTTTATTGAGCAGGTGAAGTGAAGCGTGTTCTCGCTAAATGTAAGCGTGCTCAAAGGCACAAACCTCTAGCTAGATGTACCGTTTCAGATGTTCTGTCCTGTTATCCGTTTCATGCCGAACCGTCAGTGAGGTGTGGTCCTGGAGAAAGGGCCAAGATTGAGATGGCACCACAGTTGGTGTAAAGTGCTAGTCAGATTACTGATGATCCTAATCCTCTGTCATGTCAACTGTATAACCTGAGTTGGCCCGTTAAGATTAAATGCCCCTGTTCTTCTAGTGGTCCTATGTTGCTTTGATGCCATCTAACATAATGAGTTTGGCAGGATTGAAACAGACCTGGCCACTGGCCACACTTATCGACGAGTTCATCTCTATCATGACATAATTGGTGTCCAGCAGAAGAGAAGCACACGCATGTCATTGGACCCCATAGGAAGTTTCACCTAGTTGTTGATGCGTAACTTCGTGTCATCACCTGAGGGACACAACAAGTACTTGTTGAAAGTAACAGAAATCTGTAAAGTTCTCAATTGCTTTGTCCCTTGTAGTAGGTAATGTATTATCTACATGTTTGGTTTCTGACCCGCCTAATCTCCGTTTGAAATGGCTTTGCTAGCAACCTTTTCCATGAGTGCTTTGCTCGTTTAAGGAAATGGCTTCCATGATAAGCTATATGCGCACTCAGCTGGGGTAATGGTTAACGGTTACATGGTAAAGCATGTGCTGATGTGCACTACATTATGCAACCTTTTTACAGAAGTTAATGCAACTATGTGGAGATCAATGGGGGCTCAAAGCTACTAAACATAGCTAGTGCGCGAAATAAGTGACATAGTAGACTTTTTCCTATTTCTTTTGAGTAATTTAAGAATACAATAGCATATGGAACATGATATATAGTTAACATTTTAAAACTCAGTAAAGCAAACATTTTTGGCCTTCTAAATATTATGTGCCAGACATAGCGATGCAGAGGGGGCCCTGTTGATTTGTTGTTGTATATAATCTACAAGAACTCTTCTGTTCCTGTCTCATTTTAGAACCTCTGATTCATTTCATGTACCCTGTATTGCCACTTCGACAAAGTAAATTGGCAATGTAGGAGGGTTACTAATAATTTGGAAATTCTCTAGCAAAGAATTTTAGATTTACTAGTGGGATTAAATTTATTTATGACACTCCTAACTGTGTTGCATGTTTAGTGTTACTTTTACTAGGAAAGGATACAAAGTAGGACCTTCAGGAAAACTACTTCAGGTTTAATTTGTTAGAAATGCCAATGGACTTTCATGTTCTAGCATCAGATGTTTACATCTCAATGTTTCACTCAAAAGGCCTGACCTTGAAAAGTCTACTATCTGATTTTTACATCTCAAATTTTCACTCATAAGGCTTGACCTTGGAAAGCGGGTCAGCATACTGTTTCTCCTTTTAGGGAGTCCAGGAGGACTATTTGGTGTACGGTGTTATCTATTTCTCACTAGATGTTGCTCAATTAGGATTAGTTCCGGACTTGCGATTGTTTCAGTTACTGTCTCGGTGCATTTATATCAAGACATGTATTCCTATTACTGCTCAGATTAATGGATCTTTTCTGTAAATAATAGGTTGTCTTGTCGCATTTGGCCTGAGTAATATCATGACCACACTCAACACTGATTTCAAAGAATGTACATAAATTACTTAAAACATATATTTTTACTTTATTCCATTTGTCTGCTAATGTTGGAATGTGAACTTCACAGTCTCTCTTCCAGTATCGCATCAATAGGAAAGTCATTAGACGAACTACTCAAATGATAACACATGAAGACCACTAACATAATTAGAGTTAGTTTAGTTTTTCTCTTTCTTTATATATGTTTTTTGTTTCACATTTTTATGATGTAAGCATGCATTGCAAGCCATGAAAAGTAACGACAAGCATGCTAAAACTATTGATGGAGGCACTACCAACTTCTCTTAGGACAGACAGAATTATATCATCGCATTTCTAGGGTTGGATTAAGAAGTCAACAACCCATTTAGTACTAAAAGAAGTTACTAAAAAGTTGCTATCCATGATTAGTGATCTAAAGCGAGTGCACTATGCAGTATGCACTGCAAATAACTAAACAAGTTTAGAAACTTCAGTGGTTACCTGATTTTCAGGTAACTGGTTTGGCAAGTCTTACCAGTGCATGGTGGTACCACTTCCCCACACATGCACACTTTCTGTCTGGAATGGACACACATATACATTATTACCTTTTGGAGCTTATCTCATTGATGACATCAATAGCAATATGCTTGCACAAGTTCCAACCATGCTCTTTCTTTTTATCCTTGTGATCTAAAAGCATCTGACTGACTCCATTTGGCCTTTGCTTTGTGGGCACAATAACATTGTTCACAACACATAGGAACACAATGAGTTGGAGGAGAAGTCGGCATGCACAAGCATTGCCTGCATCGCTCCAAAACTAGTCCCAAGTCCTAACCCCCACAAGCCACCTCATGGCGCTCACTGTTGACTTCATACAATGATCATTCAGGACATGCCCTTTGCTATTTAGGAGAAACCATCAAATGCTTGATTAATTGCTAGTTGAAAGAGTGGCCATTAGGCCATTACACACTTATATTCCATAGTAGTCAAAACATATTAAATTTGTTTCACACACCTTCTTGGAGGAGAATAATTACATCTCTGGTCTAGATGGAGTGAATTAGGTTTAATACCTACCAGATCATTTGATCATTAAGAAAGATGTTTCTCTTATGAGTATCATCATGATCAGATGGCATGGTAGGCACAAAACCCATTCTCTCAACTGTGCTAGCAAAGGTTCTAATTCTTCGGCAAACTGACTTCATCATAGTCATCCAGGGATAGGAACACCTCGTCTAAGCATGAAAGCTCCATGTCCTCCTCGTGGAAGGTCACTTGCGAATCGTAGCTCGACTCGAACACCCGACACACCACCCAATTGCTGCATTCCTGTGATGATCATCCATGCATGTTGGACATGTTTGTCATGCGTATATGATAATGCTATAAATGCAGAGTTTAAGAAAATGTTAGGTGCAATAACATGTATGCAGCACTCACTTTGTCTGGTTGGCCTTTCTTCTTGTGAGACCGCTTGCGTGAACTACCTGAAGTGCTGGCACCCACATTCCCGTCAAGTAAGTGGTACTCATGCATAACCCAGTTGGTTTTGGTCGCCTGAAAGGGCTCCCCAATGGAGAAGACGAGTGTCTTCTTCAGGCCGACATGAGAGCCGCCACTACTTACTGCCTCATCGGCACCGACGGGATTCCAGCACCCATTTCGTGAGGCCCTACTCTGTGTTGCTTGGCTAAAGAAGTACCACTGGTTCCCTGCTTGAAGTGCTTTGCCTTGAAAGAGTTGTCAGAATCAGGACTAGACATTACTTGTGATATGCACAAAGGTTTGTGAAAGAAAGTATTAGGTACATACCATTCAGCTCCCATGGATCGTAGCGATTCTGAGGCAGTGTAGGGACGATGTCAGGTCGGCATGGGAGGAGAGCCGCCTTGCGCCGGAGGAAATGGATGACGAGTTCTTCGTCGGAGGGGAAGAAGTGGAAACCAGGAGGAAGGTTAGTAGATCCACCCATATATGCTGGAGTAGATAGAGTAGAGGAAGATGGAAGGCTGTGAGGAAGGAAGATGAGAGCACGGGTGCTTGCTTCACGTGGTTTCTTAGTAGTATTTATAGGGGTTGTATGCGTGTGTGTATTTGTATGTAGAGAAAGGGAGGGAGAGGGAGAGACGTGCAATTCAAGGAGTGTTGAAAGGTTTTGAGGGCGGCTGCAGCATGGTTGCTTTGAGAAGCCTGCCAACTTAAGTGCCATGCTTCCTTGTCCTCACCATTTTTTATATGGAGGGAGCTAATGATGCTATGCAAACACTAATGTTGGATTTGGACAGAGGAGTATCTCCTATATATTTGATGTTCAGAGTTACTGCAAATTTCTCTACTTCTTAGATGAATCGTTACTAACTAACAGAGTCCATCAATGCATGCATGCATGGTGCCTCATCATGCTCTACATATTTTATAACAAAGCCGGAGATCAAGACATACAGTTTCTTGCCTAGCAATGATGCTGGTCTGGGTGTCCTTAATTAGGAATTTAGGATAGCCTTTTGCGGATGTATTTGATCTTCGTTGACTCCGCTTGGATATCTTACATTGCATAACCATCTCATCCATCCAAAGTTTCAGTAGCAGACTCTTGCATCATAATCTAACATGATGCTTGTGTGCTACTTTAGGTACACTTCAAAATACCATGTCTGCCCAAGAGAACTGTCAATATAGCGTAATATCATGTGACCGGAGTTTTCTCAAACCTCACATATGCCCATCCATATCTGAGATCAGGAGAAGTGAATGACGAGCTAGGTGGGACGACAGAATCAACAATTATCTGATACCAGAAGTAAGCGAAACCCCATCTCTTGCCATTAAATTATTGTGCTGATTAGACCGAAGTTTTGACTTTCTCTCTTATTTGACGTGTGTTGGATATCGTGTAGATATCAAGCAATCATGCATCAAATAGCACCTTGAATTTGTTTGGACCAACAAATAGTAATTTGATTTGGTTTTGACTGCTGATATGCATGCTTGTGATCTTTATAGCCGAAGTGCGTACTATATTCCCCAGCCCCAATATTTCAGGGATATTTTCAAATAATTGTAAACACAAGATAATTTTGTTTGTTACTTCTATTTTCGAAGGCAATACCAGACGTTTCATATTCTTCAGGTTTTAATAGTTAGTATAGCAAACATTACTCGTGTCGGTTCATGTCACTGCAGGTGTTTTACCTGAAGTGAACTACTAGTTATGAAAAGAACCCCCTAACTTGTGTTAGAACAATTAAGGAAAAAGTTTTTGAGTTTGATTTGTTAGATCGTTTGTTTGGGTGTGTAAAGGCTATCCTAGAGACCTAGACTTGCCTATATTTCTTTGCCCATATCACGACAGCTTAACTTCTCACTGGGTGATATGTGAAGCAAAGGTCAGGTCCAACACAACTGGGCATGCACCATCAATCGTGTTCTGAAATTACCAGCACAAGATGGGCTAGGAAGCGTCCTGCGTCCCCAATAGCGGAGTGGGTCTTGTGAGTGCCTTCACCTGTATAAATTTTGTCTGGCATGGGTGCATTCCTCCTCCTCATGTCATGCAATCGTCAGCCTTGTCCAACCATGCTCCTTTATACATACATCTTGACCATCGTCATAATAATCCCCCAGGCCAGCAAGTTGCAGCAGGGAGTTCAGTGGAGTTGTGGCAAAGTACAAAGCGCATCACTTGGAGATGAAGCCACTCAAGCTCCTCCTGCACTGCATCCTTTTCGCCCATCTATTTTGTGCTCATGTTTGCGAACTGCTTCATCAGAAAAGAAACACATCAATCATTTCAAGTTACTTGTGCTAGCTCGGTTTGCAAGAGACAGAAATAATTTGGCAGACATCACTGTTATGACAATGATCCATGGCACTATCTATGACGGCGACGCTACGCTGTTGAGTATTTGGGTAAAATACCACCCTGCTAAGTAAGCTGTAGCCCAATCGGTAAGAGACACATCTGACTATGCAAGAGTGTGGCTTATGTGTCAGCTGACAGAGAAGGAATAGTTTGTGTTGATGCAGTGTGGATAAGATGTTAATCTCTTGAGATGATATGCTAAGTTGCTAACCACTACCAGTCCCTAATATTTGGTGAGATGCTTATCTTGGTGCATGCAGGTGCAGGTCTACAACATACAAGCTCAACAACCCTCCTGATGATCAGAATCTTCCAGGTAACTAGTATCCTAACAGCTCAATCTGTGGCCTCATATAAAAGGAGGAGAAAAGGGTAGAGATGATAGTCAATCATTCCATGGTGCACACATTCATGCATGCACACACTACTCGTTGCACTTTTATCCTGCCTTTTCTTGCTCTCTATCTAGCCATTCTCTTTAGGAACAGTTTTTGTGCATGCCGTGTCTCTTTATGGCAGGCCATGTCCATGTAAGACTGGGCAAAGTCCATGCACCACTTGAGCTAGCTAGCAGATGAAGTGGTGGCGTGGTGCTGGTGGTGGCATGGCGGCAGCAGCACACGTAGAGGTGGGGGTACCTAATAATCCCCGGAGAGGGGAGCCCACGGATCATACAAAGGGAGCTTCGATCTGCGGGGCCGTCCGCTCGGGTGACGACCTGATGACGCAGTTCTGCATCTGCATTCCATTCTCTGTGACAAGGGAACAAGTCGACAGGATCTCCAACGCTAGTACGAGTGTCCTTGCACTATCAGCTCAGCTCCGCACATGTTTCATCTTCGTATTCTTGCGTTAGGAGCACTTGGCTAGGAGTTCTACATTCCCATGGTTTGTTTTCTTCTACATAGATAGACAGATCAAAGACTCTTGTGAGCCTGAATTAAAGCTACCAACTACAGTACATCCCTGGGTCAGATAACATGATGATAATAAGCTAAATTTGCATGGGAAAATGCTACTCTTTGCATGGGTGCACATATGAATTTTAAAAAATGACGTTTTTCAACTTCTGAAAAATTGTGAAGAAGTGCATACTTGCAGAGTATGGATAGAAACTTGTCTTTGCATTTTTTTTTGTAAAACAAAGGCCACCTATGGCCTGCAAAAAAAAAGCCTTTTGTGTTGGAATTTTTTATAGTTTCGCATACCTACGACCTGCAAAAAAAACTCTTCACAACAAATGAAGTAGCCTTTTTGTGTTAGGAGTTTTTTTTTGTTTCACACAGTTCACAAATGATCATATTTTTTTACCAAAATTTATAGGCACAAATTTCTAGTATTATTTACATGTATGTTTTTTTTAACTTTTCAAAACTTAGAGAATGCGATTCCTTTTCTAAGTTTCTAGTGCTCTACTATTGTGTGCATCTATGATTTTCTTCCTAACTTCTCAAAACATGGAAAATGTGAGTTTTTTTCTTAGTAAATAAATGGGTTATATACATCCATCCATGTCCTGGAAATTTATTGGTTTTTTTTTTTTGAGCTGGGAAATTTATGTTCTCCATATACATGCTACCTCAACTGAACTTTCCTTTTGAGCTCTCAACAGGGGCAATATGTGTTTAATTAGATATAGTTTGATTTGGGCTAATCTGGCATGCATCGGTGGGTCGTCCACTTCTCTGTCTGCCTATTTTGGGGGCTGGAATGTGCTCTGGCCTCTGGGCTATCTATCCCCTCTGCTACTACTACTGTTGCAAGCACCAGTGCACCACCATGTGTGACCTCGGTGGCACTGCGCTGCACTGCCATCCCAACATGCCATCCTCTGCCAGCGGCACCACGGTGGAATGGTGGTGGGTGGTGTTGGAGGGAGCAACAGCAGGCCAAGATCAGCTTCGCTCCTCAGCTTCTTTCTATCTTTCGCGCCGCGCCCCCTAGCTAGCTTGCATTCCTTGAGATGAGCCCTTCTTCCTTGGCAAGTCGAAATAGACATCGAACTGTTCTTCCCACTGATTATTGTTCTTCATATGTGCTGTTTGTTGCGGTACGTTTCTGATGGATGATTGCTTCATCTCCTTACATACTCCAGCTACATCTCTCTCCCTCACCCACACTGTTGAACGCCACTGCCTGTTCCCCATCTTATTTCTCGTGTCGACGGGCAAGAAAGGTACCCATAAATGCATGTGAACCACCGACGGTTACAGCTTGAAAATGGTGTTTGCTTGTAGCTAGACTGAGCATCGTTTGCAAGACCATGACAAGGGAGGGAGGGATCATTGTCGCCGGCAAACAATCGGAAAGATTGCGAGGGCGGGCGACATAGACCCCCCCACACACGTTGGTGTCTTCTTGGTGCAGCGTTCGTGCGGGTCTTTTTTTCTTGGGTACTACTGTATTGCTGACGTGCATGCTACTAACTAGTAGCTTCGATGGACCACTACCAGTGATTCCTCTGCCCTCCTCTGTCTAGTGTCTGCCTACGGTGGATACCTTGTTGAATTATATATCAACCTGTGTCTCCTATGGATAAGACACACTACCACACGAGTCCACACTGCTTTGAAAATGGCACGCCAGACCAAATTAGCAAACACTCGATTGCAGAAAATACATGTGCAGAGGCCCCTCTCTGTTTTTCTGTGAACTGAAGATCGCAAGGCTTCCTAAGAACGAAACATTCAACTGTGATGAAAATCAGTCTCCCAACATATTCGAATTGTTAGTGTTAATTTGTCTAGAAAGAAACGCGTTTAAATTTCACGTTGAATGTCCAGTTTTTGCCCTGGGAACCTCTATCTTCCAACTCAAACGGCTGACTGAACCTTCATGGGTGGCTAACACCTCCTGGTGTAAAGAAAACTAGTCCATATGGAATCTTATTCCAGTATATTGCTGCTGTGATGCAATGCCGTTCTCCCCACCATGTATGCTTAGCTTTGGATTTGTCATTTTGTTTGCCTTTACGCTGCAATCAAGGGAAGAATAATGCACGACTAAGTGGAAAATATCATCCCCGTGAACCATTTGTTTGCTACTATCAGGCACTCCATCTCTTAGAACTTCAGAAGTGTGCAGACAAGGAGCAAATGGAGCAATCCGCTGTTTCGGCTGTGGTTGGCAGCCTAAGGGCATCTACAATGCTAGGAGCTTGCATAGGCGCTTATGGAAAAAATAAATATCTGAAACACACCTAAGCGCCTCATCCCTCAACGCTAGACCCTAATTAACTAAACAACGTAGACGCTAAGTGCTGGAAGGAAAATGACCAAGCGCCGGGTGCGTGGTTTGGCGTCGATGTCAGGGTTGACACCAGGATTACACCCGGCAACCGCTAATCT